ACAATAGTGTTATAAGTTATAAAGCAAGAAAGTGGGTAGTATAATACCCCACCCCTTTAGAAAGCACTAGGGAAAGCCCGAATGAAAAGATGACATTTGAGCAAAGCAAGCCATGCAGAATAGTGGTGGAAAGAAAGCTCTAGGTTTGGGAGAGGGGGCTTGGAGTGATATTTATACTGTATGTCCACATCTGTACCTTGCTTTATTGCAATGTTTCTTGGAGATTTTTTCCATGGTAGAATATTAAGACCTACCCCTTTCTTTTTATTTGCTACATAGCAGTTAATAATATGCTTATCCCATAATTAAGTCACTCCCCTCCTATTAGGCATTTAGTTTGTTGCACACTTTTCTCAATTACAGGCAGTTCTACAATGAATTCTAGAGTGTACTTGTATAAGTTTTTACAGTGTGGTACCCAGAGCAGCATCATCAGCATTAACTGGGAACTTGTTAGAGATGCCAGTTCTCAGTTCTACCCTAGACTTAGTGACTCAGAAATCTGAGGATGGGGCCAAGCAATCCATGGTTTAACAAGCCCTCCATTCTGTCAATGTACTCAGTTCCAATACGAAGGCATGGTGGAGGGTAGGGGAATGAGGGAGAGGGGATGAAGGAGTGGGGTGGGGGGTCACGGTGTATGGCACACCTCTTGGGGGTGGGACACAATTGTAAGAGGGAATTTATCTAACAAATGCAATTGGTGTAACCTAATTCTTTGTACCCTCAGTGAATCCCAAATAATAATAAAAAAGATTCAAAGATAAAAAACCCCAAATATTGTTATAGAGAGTTAAGTTTTGATATATTCAATATTAAAACAGGTAAGCTCTGTTACAATGTTACACATTTCAACTTTGTATTGAGGTCTAAAAACACTGTAACTGCTTCAAATTCTTTTCAAGGTGCTTTCAAATAAAGCCGTATTTAATATTGAAAACCCCCCAAACCCTCCATTCTGATGATGTGTGATCAAATTTGCGAACCACTGGCTGGGAGGTGTATGTGGGTATATACACACATACATCCATACCTGTACATATACAGTCAGTTCTGCTATGATGTGACATCTGTATTCTTAGACATCACGGTTTTATGCAGAAATATGTAATATAAAGCCCTATGGGAAAAATGGGGTTAAAGGCACAATCAAAAGCTTTATCTATGACGCATAAAAACAAAAGCTGGGAATCTAATAAAAACCATAGCACACTTATATACTTGTTAAATGGGCTAATTCACAAATGCTACTGGCACTTTCCCTCGAAAAGACTTGAAGTTTGCTGGAGGAATTTAGTGTTGGAGGCATTACCCCTTTCGAGTTACTGTGTAGTGGTGGGAGGTGGGTTATGAAGGAAATTTGAACATCAGATGTGGTAGGTGTGGCTCCTAGCCTACATGGTAAACTGGGGCAGTTAGTTGGTCATGTCAGAGCATGTGCATGTGCGCCTTTTGTGTTTTCCTATGTGGGTCAATTCAGTTGGGTGCAGTATTCTGTTTTTACCTAGCATATCTCATAGATAAACAAATGTGCAATTGGAGCTATATTCAAATTTTTCCTGAATGTGTCAATTGCATTGGAACAAATTTGCCTTTTCAGTACAGGTGTTACGGCAGAACTGACTATGGGTATGGAGGGGTGTTCTTACATAAAAGGGCTCTATACATTCTACCACATGCTATTTTTTTTTAGTTAGTATCTCTTAGAGCTTTGTCCATATCAGCACATAGTTACTCATTTTTTCAAAATAGAGCTTCAAGCATTAAGAGATGACTAAATTGATCTCCAAAATGCTCTGACCAATTTCTACTCCCACCAACGTGCTTCCTACACCCTGGCCAGTGGTACCTCTTATCAAATGTATTAATTTTTGCCAACTCAATAGTTAAACATCTCTTTCTCTCCCTCTTTCCTGCTCCCCCATTTATACCGTGAGGAACGCTTCCTGTAAATATGCTGATAGGAAAAGGAGCTTTAAAAATGTGAAATGGCTGGTGAGGTGGTGCTGAAGAAAAATAAAGGAAATAAAATGGATACGAGAGAAAACGGAAGAAACTCCTGTTCAAAAGGGAGAGAAAAGGAATGCCTGTCCGGCTTGTTTTTTACTTCTCCCTTTGCTAAATACAACTTATCCACTTTATGAGATAAGATATTGCGTTGACCCTGTTGGGATTCCATCTGTCACTCTAGCTGGTTGACATCCCCCCCCAAATGCAGCTTATACCATTAATCCATTCACTTCAGCAAACACACCTAAGGGCATCAGATTCTTCTGTTTATCAGTATTGGGTTGCATGGCCCTGACAAGCTGAGCAGATACAGCTGATCAGGGTAATGTGACAGCTTCAGTATTTGAATCTGGGGCCTCTAACAGCAAAAGTGGCAGAAATAGAGGCTCAAGCAGGTGTCAGATGTTTTCCTGTAAAGAGTTGGCAATGGACGTAAATGCTTCCAGCTGGGCACATTACCAGGCAGGGAAGCCATAATGATTTAACAATTAAATCACATTGGTTTATGATCATTGTTCTTATTAGGAAATATCATTGCTTTTTGATGATTTATTGTGTGAAGTGGAATTTTCACATAAACACCGTGATTTGCATTTATATGTAATATATATTTGCATATATATTCAAGTCAGAATGACTTACTAAAAGTAATCAAGAAAATAGGATGGATTATTGATGTAAAAATGCCAAAGATATTTAAGGAAATGTAGAAATTATGAAGATTAATATGACGACATTGTCCCTTCAAAGTCATATTAGATGCATTTTCCTTTATGTGAAAACAGCAGGAAGAGAGACAAGTACTAGCTGGATTCATCTCTGTTTTGCAATAGGGTTTTTGCTCCTTGGAATCTCAAACTATAATATTAGTAAAATACAAAGAATATATATAAGACCGATATAAAATCTACATTTTACTTCTAAATTAAAGACTTGTGTTCTTGCCCTCATGTCTCCTGGTAGTGTCCTGATATAGACAGGAGATTGAAAGAAAGTTAAGAAGAGGAAGGAAGAAGATTTTAACTCATAAAAGAGCTTTCAGTCTCATGGGGCCTAGAGCAATTGCTCTGGAGCAGTCAAGGATATTGCCGAAGACTCTCTCTGTCTCTCTCACTATTCTTTGTATTATCAGCTGTGATGACCTGTGATGACTTGTAAGCACACCTGCTAGTATTAACCCAAGGTGCAAAATTTAGTGGTGAGTTCCAAGGGCAAAGCGAAATGTGTCTCCCGGTCATCTGCACGCAGGGCCAGCTACATAATTTAGGGGGCCCAGGGTTGTGAAAGCTAGCAAGATACAAAGCTTTGTCCTGTCTTCCATGGATTGATTCTTTCTTTCTTTCTTTCTTTCTTTCTTTCTTTCTTTCTTTCTTTCTTTCTTTCTTTCTTTCTTTCTTTCTTTCTTTCCTTCCTTCCTTCCTTCCT